AAAAAAAAAAAAAAATCCTATCAAGCCATGATGCACAGCACACCCTGCTTTTGTGCATATGCCTTTCTGACTTGAGTATATTGAAGAACACTGTCACCCTATTTATAGCACCACCATATTATTGGTTTATTGTGGCAGTTTGTTGGCTAAAACATTTGATATACTAGTGAGATATTTTTGTTGATGTTTATCTTTTGACATTTTAGTACTTGTTCTGACATGCATTATATATTATGTTTTCAGTTTGAATACAAACTCATATTTGAAAAGGTCACAAGCATACTGACTGTCAAAATTTTTTGATTGTCTCATTCATCAAGTAAATGACATGCTTATTTTTAGATAGGATTTTGTCAATTGGAAACCTTATATATTTATTATGACACTTTTTCTAATGAATTTGTTTTCTCATTGTTATTTCAGTACTTTGTAGAGGCTGGGGCAATAGCTGTGAGGCGCGTTCGCAAAGAGGATCTGCGCCATGTTGCCAAGGCAACTGGTGCAACTGTGGTAAGAAGTTTAACATATCTCTTTTTAATGACTTGCAGTTAGAAACCATATCAATTCATAGTTATTACTCCCTAGTTGAGGTGGCAAATATTTGTACTTAGAGAACAGTTTCATTTGTAACTATCTTTGCTGTTATGAGGTAGTAATAGGATATATGTCTGAGTTCTTTCTAATGGAATATTCCCATTCTTGATCTTTGAGTTCTTCCTAATGCAATATTCCCATCTCGACCTTGCATCATATTCCCATTTTCATCATATGACATGTATCAACTTGGCCTGGGAACAGCTTACTAATATCTTGGGGGATTGACCAAGATGTGCAAAAATAAAAATGGTTTCATGGGGGCAAACATCAAGCATTCCTCCTCCAAATTAGCATCTCGCAGGTTTTGATATCTTGAGTGCAGACTTCCATAAAAAAGCCTAGAGGTGATATAGGGCCAGATCAAATAGCTTTAGCAAGAGTAAGAAGATGGATTAGATGAATATAGGGATTTCAATAATGAGGAACAAGAACACACTCCACCAGAGTCAGGGTCCAAATTCTTTTGTCAGTGCTGTGAGGGAGAATGAAAACCCCTTTAAGTTTATCTAAAAGGTTTAAAACAGCCAAGGTCTCAGAATGTCTCAAACCTCTATAGAGGTCTAGGACCCAAGACAGACCTCCAGAACAAAAGGAGGGGACCATTTCAGAGATAAGTTTATTTTTGTGATTGGATGGGTCATAGATGAACCAATTCTAATCTCCTTTAGTTTTTGTACTTCAGTTATCCAATTCACTTCTCCCATATTTCTTACATTTTGCAAAATGAGAAACTATATGGTGAACCACAGGTTTCAACATTTGCTGATATGGAAGGAGAGGAAACATTTGATTCGTCACTTCTTGGATATGCTGATGAAGTTGTGGAGGAGCATATATCTGATGATGATGTGATGATGATAAAGGGAACGAAATGCACAAGTGCGGTATGTAATATATCATAGTTAATATATTTTGGCTAATCTTCTAAACCATGGAATCCAAGCTGATATTCTAAGAAATTATATTCCTCTAACAGAGGTCTGGCATTGATCCCTATGAACCTCGAGCACAGTGTGTGAAGGCATTCCACATACCAACTCATGATAATATTATAACAATATCTGTTAATATATTTGTTTGATTACCAGTTTTGTTTCCAGTTGGAATATCTTCGACCTTTCTTATGTTGCAACTTCTCCTGGTTGACTTTTTGTTCTTTACTCCCCGTCCTTTGTTGACAGGTCTCTGTGATCCTTAGAGGTGCAAATGACTACATGCTGGATGAGGTGGAACGAGCTTTGCATGATGCCTTGTGTATTGTCAAGAGGGCTCTTGAATCCAATGTGGTAAGCCTGAGCATTTGTTTGTTTCTGTTATGAGGCATTATTTTTCATGTTTTGAAGTTCAAATATTAATTAGAACTTCTCATGCTGATTTTTTATTATTTTTTTACGAATAACACAACTTTCATTAATAAATAAAGAAATAAGTACAAAGCAGAAGGGGAGAGGTAAAACCTATTAATCCTCCCCTAGGGAAAATCAAACTATTATATAGTGCAAAACATTGCCAGTCCTGTTTTTGTTTCGCATGGTTATTGTATTGGTATATTGTCTAGAGAACCAGGGGTTATCTGTGAAAATCCCTGAATAAGGCCAATTTTTCTGTTCACAATGTGCTGATGCTGTTTGAATGTCATTTTATTAGCCATTTATCTTCTTTTTACTGGGTTTGAATTTATTGTTTAATTTTTTTCTTCTGAACTAAATGCATATTATCCACCTGATATTCATTGATTTTTGGCCTGGATATTATGGTGATTAAATAAAATGGAATAGTGAAACAGGATTCATATAGCTGACCCCATATGGTTGGGATAAGGCTTGGATGATGATGATGATATTATGGTGATTAAGCTTGTGTAGACTAAGAAGTGTACATACACACATGTCGGGATTTGTTCCTAACTATTTCATGGATTTAATTTAAAATGTTTTCGCGTTGTTCAGCTGGACCAGATGATCTTAAACTTAATGAACAGAACATCACTTCTACCTTTTAGGAACTCAAACTGCTTCATGGTTTTAAATGTTTTAATTTGTACACCTTCTAGAAGGTAGATGTTGTGCTTGATTAGTTGGAAATACAAACACTTTAGTGAAAGGTGATTCCTATTCTATTCAATGCCAGACTCCTACCTATTTTACCTTTTTCCCATTCACTCCTCCCTCTAAGGCCTCGTTCATTTCCTCCCTCTAAGGTCTTGTTTATTTTTCAAAAGCTATTTACCTATTTTCTTTTGATTCTTAGGTAAATTTTTCAATGACTCTTTTATCCATAAAAAAGTTCTTGTTAGAATGGGCAAAATTTCCCAACACGTTTTGTCAAGTGATTTTTCCATAGGTTCTACATGAATGTGAAAAACGAACATGGCAAAATTTCCCACAATCCCATTGACTGACTTCCCCCTTTAGAATTAGGAAAACGAATGGGGCCTAAAAGTAGATGCACCTGTACACCCAACTCATCTCCCCCCCACCAAACAATAAGGCTGTGTTCGGTTTGAAAGAAAAGGGAGGGAAATTTCCCTTCCTTTTTCTTTCAAACCAAACACAGCCTAAGGCACACATTTACATGCATACACATACCTCACATCTCCTTATCTTTCTCTATTCATTGAATTTACAAGTGAAAAAAAACTATTTGTATCTACAGTTGCATCCTCGTGAATGCTTTTAAAGGCGTGTGAGGCATATACTTGGAAGTGTGCTAGGTAAGTTGCACTCAAAACACCCCTGAAACGTATGGTGGAGGCATTGATGCCTCTCAAGCATTAGTCTCTTGTCCGTGCTTGGGCGAGAGTAGTACTAGGATGGGTGACCTCCTGGGAAGTCCTTGTGTTGCACCCCAATTTTATTAATCTTTTATTTTTTTCTTTATGGCAGCAGTGTAAGGAATCCAGGGCCCTCTGGGATTGGAGGAGTCTTTAGGAATGAGGAAGGGATTGTTACTGCTTTATTCTCTGGCCCTATTGGAGAAGGTGACTCTCTTAGGGCTGAGATCCTTGCAGCGCTTGAAGGAATTCGAAGAGCAAAAGATCTAAATATTAGCC